AAAACCCCATCTGGAGGGGGCAGCGCGCCGATTATGATTTCCCATACACTTCAGCGCGCCTTACGCTCCTTCACCTCACGCACATGATGAGGTAAATGTAGCGCGAGTTTCACCCTCTCACCCCTCGCCTCGGGGGGCCGATTTATGTTTTCACATCCACCAGAATAATGTGCAGTTGCACCACTGGGTGTTTTCATACCTGATAGTCAGGTAGACTCAGTTTGATTGGGGACTAAAACTGTTGTGACATTTGATCCATCTTCAGTTGGTGCGGTTTGCTTTCACACTGCACTGTGTCAATCATACCAAACCCTTTAGCCGTGTCCGAAGTGAGGGGCTGCATCCTTCGAAGGCTGGATTTGTAGCCGACAATGCATTTGTTTTTTCTCCAGATTTCAAGGTTAGGTTCGGTATACCAAGATTTTATGTAAAAAAAAAATAAAAAAAATGAGTGGCCCCTGCTAGAAAACTGATCACCATTGGGTCTTTCAGCAGGATAATGACCAATAAAATATGAACAAATCAATGCAGAAATAGTTATCCGGACATAAAATCAACAGTTTTTTATGGATAATAATTAATTATTACCCATATTAATTATTAATAATATAGTAATTCAGGATTCTGGGTGATCTGGAGAGACTGTGTAAAGAGTTTGTATTTATCTGTATCCCTAAACCTTCTGAAATGTTCCAGGAGGATATTAGGTACTGTCCTACTGGCAAATGGACATAGTAAAAACTCCTTCATATCACAGGTACCAACACTAATGCTACCAACAATTTAGTTAAAAGCAATTTTCCCAACTGAATAAATGCACTCAAAGGTTAGATATATGAACACAATCGGTGCAATAAGACCTGAATTTACTGGTACACATCAGGGGTGCCAACACATTCATCTGTTCCTGTCTGTTAGGATTTGGGTTTTGACTGCCATGTACATTTAGTATTTCATATGACTTCTATCAGGGATAATGTGTTAGAACACAAATTCTTTAAATAGTCCATTTCATTGCCTGTTGATTTTCTTAGGTAACCATGTTTGGCTCCAGACACCAGACACACACATACATGCACACACACACACACACACATACACACACACACACACACACACACACACACACACACACACACACACACACACACACACACACACACACACACACACACCTAAAGACACACACACACACGCACACAGTCTGTCTTTCCGTCTTCACAGGAACTTTGCATTGACTTCCATAATTCATTTTCTATTAATTTCTATAGCCTGTTGCATTTCTGCCTGTACAACTTGCATTAAGTTTAGTAATTGCATTTATACCTAACCCAGACATTATCCCTAATTCTAACCATTACTTGTATAGACGTAAGGTGAACCTTAAACAACCCAATACCATGCCCCAAACAAGGGGTCTTCTGTATTAGGACCAGGCTTTGGTCCTCATAAGGCCCATTAGTTTTAAAAGATGAATAAATATGACAGAAATGTTCCTAAATAGAATAGCCAAACAAGTACTCACACACAAAGAGTATTGCGTACACTGGCTCTGCAAAATTCAAAGTCCATCCTGACAAATGTTCATCTGTAAGAACTGAATGTATTTCTATAAAATACATTCAACGGGTAACAAGCACATATCACTTAACACAATGTTTATTGTGCTAAACATTTAGCACAGTGTCACTGTTAGGATTCAGTTTTGTCTTTCGAATGAGTGTTCTTCATACAGATGATCTTCATGGGAGAGTTCCGGCAGGCTGACCCACCAGCAGCTGATTCCAGTAATCAGCAAGCTCCAGACTTCATGGCGTACCTGCTCTCTCCCGCTACCACCTCAGAACCTCAGATACACTCACCTGGATCCACGCCCCTCCCTCAGAGCCCATTTCCGCCAAAGAGACTGTAAGCTTCACCCTGCATTCCTCTCTCAAATCCCCCAACCCTGGTGTCTACTAACTTCTCCCTTCTCCTAACAGAACCTGAGCCAGCCAGGACCCCCACACTCCCTGCAGAGCGCATCACTTTATATTTATAAATCACTGACAAAATTCAAGTGAATATAATCTTCATTGTACCAAAGACTTACCGGTTTCATGTGTGTTCCTGCATGTGGGTCAGAAAACTTCAATCCAACATGTCAGTCACATTTCTACATTATGCAGTTTGCAGTTCATCTACAAACCATCATGGAATACATGTCACAGTCTGGTGCATGCAACCAGACCCCGAATATGTGAACCACAGCAAATCAGAAGGCAACCAATCCAGAAGAGATTAGAGACACAACAGAACATGAGTGTCTAATAAAGTATTTGAATCACTCCACACCAAAGCAATGCAATAATACCTTTTGACTAAGACATGCACATGTTTAAAAAATTATCTGCTGTGTAAAAGAAGCAAACTACGGCTGAAATTATGGGTTGCAGTGACCAACAGCAGCAGAGAGTCCCACATTGCTCACTTTGCAATGTAAATATAAGCAATTCAATATGCCAATAGATGGCACTGAAGCTTTTTTTTATTTCAAGGCAAGGTGTAATGTAAGGTGCACACACTGTACATATGAGTACAGTGTGTGTTTAATGTGAATAGAGCCAATCCAAGAGTTACATATGCAGATTATTTCTTCAGTTAACAAGTTATCAAGTATTGTCACAGAGTCGATCCATCAGTCATTCTGCAACCAGGATGAATAATGACAACTGAATTTATGTCACCGTTTAATGAAACCACAACCCCTGGTCCCACATGGCTCTCTGCTGCCTACAGCAGACACAGGGACATTTCCTATATGTTCCCGGGCAGAAGTGCTACGCAATTAGATTAACCAGCAAAGATTGAAGCCTCTGTGCCTGTATGAATGGATGGACAAACCAACAAGTCCATTACATTCCCTGAGGATGATGTCTTCATCATGGCTCAAGGCACAGGAAAAAATAGTGTCATTGTGTGTGTGCCTGCATGTGTGTAAGGTTTGATGTAATGTGATCAGTAATGAATTTTGTGTTACATTAAAAAGGAGTGGAGGGGAACAGAAGGGGTTTAGATGCGATGGTGGAGAGCAAGAAGCAACTGACTGGTGGCAAGCAGAAGCCTTCAATGTCTAATCTAATGAAGAAAGAGAAGAAGAGGGATGAGAGGGGGTAGAAAAGAGTGATGAGAAAGAAGAGAAAGAGAGGGAAGAGAAAGACAGTCCAAATAAGGTTAAGTCCTTACATGGAGAGAAAGATGTGGTGTGGGGGGAGAAAGCAGCAGCTGAATATGGCTTGTGGAGGGGGGCTGATAGTCGATGCTAAATCCATTACAGTGTTGTGACCCCCGCTCCCCTACAAAATACCCTTCCCATTCCTGTAGCTGCCTCTGTGGAAGTGTCCCCCTCCCAATATTGTGCACATACATACACTTAAATCAAAGGAGCTCTTGTTCACTTAAGAAGGGGGACGGTGGGGGCTCACTGCCGCTTCCTAAACGAGTTAACCATTTGGACTGTCAGGGCCAACGGCATGTCTGCTGCACACACACACACACACACACACACACACACACACACACACACACACACACGCGCACACACACGCACACACATGCACGTACACACAGGTCCCCCCAAGGATATAAAAACCTGGTTCACACACACATGCGCACGCACGCACGCACGCACGCACGCACGCACGCACGCACGCACGCACGCACGCACGCACACACACACAAACACAAAGACAGGAAGCTTCATATCAAAGCAAGACGGGTGCAGATATACCAAGAGCTCTAACACACAAACACAAGCTGAACATTTCACTCTGTTTGAGCTGATCAATCACTGCATCCTGAGCTGACTGCACTGGCTGCTGGGTAATGCCATGGTGAGGTCACAAGACAATTAGGTACTTTGGGAACACTGATAATGAAATGTGTGATGAAGAGCAACACCACATGAGGACACTTGGAACTCTTAATGTGTATGAAATGGTCAGAAAAGCCCTGCTGGGAAATCCTCAGCAGGTAAAATAACACTGCTCACCTACAGGAAGAGGCTTCTTTCTATTGAAGGGCACACATTTATATGGAACAAAGAGGCATTTTTCTACTTTTTGCATATTTTTGGGATCCTGAGAGGGAAGATATGACAGTTCTATTTGATCAGGTTGCTGAAATAAACATGTTGTGACATTCAAATGTGTGAGCAATGGCTTCACATTTCTTAGCTCTTTGCAAAAGCAATGAGAGCCAGTGAATGCATCAAGAATATTCTGTCTACTGCTATGATTCCAACCATTAAGCCCCAGGACTTGCTGCCTTGATTTATTTTATTTTATTTTACTCTTATTTAGTAATGGAATATCCCATTGAGATCTTTTGCTTGAGAATCCTGGTATTCAAGTTGCCAAAAAGGTTTAATTTAAGTCATTTATTGATTCCACAGGTCAGGCTGTAATAAGACATCAGTGTGGCTAAACCAATAAAATGTGCTTAATTGTTGTAAATTTATGTATTTTATGTATGTATATTCATGTATGCAAATTTATGATTAAGTAAAGGAGACAATTGTTTTTTTTCCACATAATATCAGGTTGGTTTGAATATTTGTCGTGATAAATGAAGTAGTAATTTGAAAAATGCAAGTAAGAAAAAGCTAAAAGCAGAAGATATTTGGAAATGGGCATCCTATACCTTCTCAAAAAATGTCTGGAAATGTCGTTATTAGTTTTTGCTAATATGTGAAAATGCAAAAATTAGAGAAGAAATTATATTATTACTAAGACTGATTTCTTTTTAGATTTAAACTTGGTGATTTAATAATGTACATAAAGCATACCAGAACAAAACACAGCTGAACTAAAATAACTTGAGTGGGAATATTATGCCAAGATTTTAAGTATCCTCTTGCCTAATTTTAAAAGAAAAGTAGACAAAATACTTCTATTTATATGAAAAGCATGTGTGTTCATTTAAGAATGAGTGTGATTACACAACATGAATCCTCTACCAACCTGTAGCAGAGCCCACTATGTCTCTTGAAGGAGACTCAGACATGGCGTCGGCTAGCCTCTCCCGCAGGCCTTCATCGCTGATGTCTGCCGATCCAATATGGTGCCTGGGCACGCCGAAGCTCTCGGGCCAGCTCCCACATACCTCCAGCAGGGTAACACTGCGCCCATCAAACTGCCCTGCGAATACATAAATGTGTTTTTCTCAAGGTTAGACTGATTACTATAAAGTTACAGTATAGAACAGGAATAACCATGCTAGGTATGAATTATTTTATTGTTTATTAGTTAGGAAAAAAATCCAGAGGCAATAATAATAATAATAATAATAATAATAATAATAATAATAATAAAGTATTGCGTTTAACACAGTTACTTGGGGAAGAGGTTTTGGTACACCTACAACCACTTTAAAACTGAATTATTATTCATAACTTTAGACTTTTTAAATTGATCTGAGCTTCTATGAATCTCTAATTAGAAATTTATGAGACATTATTTCCCTTATGGTATGTATATAAAATGCAAATGTACTAGTTACCTGCCTACATACATAATGAGGAGGATGGTAAGAAAATAAATAGTTTAAAAACTGCAGCAATGAGGGTAATTTTTGACTTAGCTGGTCTCCAACCAATAGACACTACTTACATGGTAACCATATTTTGGAGAAACAATTACTGTCCTACAATAATTAACGTGAACATGGAGTTTTCTTAACTCTGCTGGGACCAACTGAAACGATATTGCTTGGTAAGATGAGGCTTATATTAACTTAAGTCATCCAGGAACTGACAAAGAAGTAATGAATATATGGAATTGTGTTTTTCTCTTTCCTAGAAAACTTAAGAATGTCAAGATGTGTAGATGGTTGTTGTAGGACCCAAATGCAAAAATTAAGGAACAAAAGAAATAACAAAACCCAAAACCCAGAGCCTGACAAAGAACCTTAACCTCATGGATTCTTATAAACTGCAGAAAATGTTAAAAACAATTTTGTGGCCTTTCCAGAAAACTGAAAATGATTCTTTAGTGGTTTTTTTTAACCAGGATGATGATCCAGAACATATGATCAAATCAACACAGAAATCCTTCATCAAACATAAAATCTGCCTTCAGCTATAACCATCTCAGTTCCCAAATCTATATCCCAAAGGCCAATGGGGGCTTAGCGGAACAGAAGAGGTGACCCATGACCTGCAGGCATCTGGAAAGATTGTCTAAAGACAACTGATCAAAGATCATTGTCTCAGTATGCTCCAACCTTATGAAGGGAGAGGTGGAAGAGCTGTCCAAGGAAAGTTGGTTGTACAAAATATCAACAGCAGGGGTTCCAATAACTATGCTGAGATTGATTTAGTCAAAAAACATTGTTTCTTAACATAATTTTTTTTTTCTGAGTAAATGTACACACACTAAATGTTCCGGCATAAGATTATGCTGCTGAAAAAACAGATTCATTTACTTTAAGGCTTCATATCTGTTTTTACTGGGAGTGAAATTAATTAGTCTACATCTGTGTGCTAATATTAATATTAATATTAAGTATTTGTTTAAAAGTGTTAAAATAAATTAGACACAAAAGTGAGAGTGAATAAACACCATACACCCCTCATTTTATAAATTAGAATATTAGAATATTATTGTTTAAGTAACTTGACTTGCAAAGTAAAAAACGTTACACACACACGCATATATATATATATATATATATATATATATATATATATATATATATATATATATATATATATATATATATATACTGCTAACTGCACTGGCTGCCATTCTATGGGAGCATGTTCGTCCTGTCTGTACGCCTGCAATGAAATGGCTAAAAAACATTTAATATATGGACTGATTTTCCATAATTTAGCTTATGTATATATATATATATTTTTTGTCACCAACTGTGTGTGTATCGTGTTTTGTGTGCGGAGGAGCGATCAGAAACGGCAGAAAACAGACTCCAGGGGAGGCACGCAGTTCTCTTGCCTCATGGCAGGGGGCGCTCATGATCCCAGATATTGTGACTCCACAACTGCAGAGTAAGACACAGTGAGCTAGCCATGGAGCTAGCCATACAGTAAATAAGTAAAGTACAGCGATATATTTGTTTTCTCCTCTCTTCCAACGTAGACATGAAAGACTACATATCTACACTTTAACAGTTTTCTAAATTGGATTTTCAGTTGAAGCAGGAGATAATAACTAATGGAAGACCAACACCGGAGCTGAAAGTTTTGCTTCGAGACAGTTTGATGATTCTCAAACAGAGTAGAAAAGACATGCTGAGGATAGACTTGGCTTTGGATGAACGGATATTTTTGTGCAGAATTAGCGGTGCATGGATTTAATTCATAGATAAAGGTAAGACAGCAATAAGATGTTTTTGTTTAGTTTTTTAATGAAATGTGCGTTTTGTGGGCTACAGTTTCTGTTTAAATAATTCAGTAAAGTAGAAGCGGTAGCAAATCTACCACAGCAATTATTTATTAATAAAACATTAAGCCTAAAACATACTACAACATATTGAATATTCTGTTCTGTGTGCAAAATTCTTGAATGTTTTTTGGTGTTAAACCCGAAAACGTGAAGTGGTATTGTTGTCTTCCACCCTCCGCGTCTTCCACCCGGGAGACCCGGGTTCGAATCCAGGCTGGGGCAAAAAGTTACAACAATGAAATTGAGCTATCCAGTATTGGTCCTTAGGCAAAACCCCTGGAGCTATATAGCCTACCTCATACCATGAGAGACATTGATATGCATAACATGCCGGCTCAGACGTCGCCCGGCCAAACAAGGTCTGCGTCAGGTGCTGAAGAACCAGAGCACCTTGATGACAAATGGGCTACTGGAACAAGACGGAAATGGGCGAGAGGTGAAAATCTAGATCTGTTGGAATGCAACTACTCAAGTAACCCTAGTCAGAGGGGCTACATGCAAAGACTGTGGGAAAAATGGTTAGTTCGACATCCCCAGTCTACAATGACTGCTAAACAACTAGTAGCTCAGTGTTCCAACATCCGCAAACGACAACTGCTATCACAACTTGAGATTGACGAGGTACAACACAAATGCTACGGCAAGGGGGAGGAGCCTGGATGTCAGGACAGGGGGGAGTTAACTACAACTACCCGCTCAGAGACTGGGTATGTAGCCCCAGTAACGAACGAACCATCAAAGCTGAACAAGGCAGCAGCTGACCTGAGAGAGAGAATCATGGCCCGAATGAACACCAGACAACCTCGACGCCAATTACAACGGCTGAGTGAAGTACCATCAGATAGTCTCATTGAAGATGTGAATGCAGCATTGAGAACAATCCCTACCAACACCATAACAGAAACCAATGAGCTGATATA